AGAAAGGAAGGAAACTTGAGAATGAAAAATGGAATATGTTGAATAGTAATCTTTTCCCATTCTTGCTTCTTGGGTGAGTGCAAGGTAACCATGCTGCAAAATAATTGCCATGAACTTCTGTAAAATGCCAGTAGGGTTGGGTTAAGATAGTTGCCAGAAAAGGATTCCATAATCTTAGGGCCAAAGACTATCCTATTTAGTGACTCTGTTAATTTGGATGGGATAGCACTGCCCCAGACAGACCCAGTGTGTAATCTGGGGGTCCTCCTGGACTCACGACTCCTGCTCAGGGAGCAGGTGGCAGTCGTGGCCAGGAGAGCCTTTGCTCAACTTTGTGTTGTGCACCAGTTATGCCCCTTCCTGAATCAGGAGGCCGTCTGGTTAGTCACTCACACCCTGGTCATCTCTTGTTTAGACTATTGCAATGCGCTCTACATGGGGCTACTCTTGAAGAGTATCCGGAAGCTACATCTGGTTCAAAATGCGGCCACACGGGCAATCTTGGGTGCCCCGAGGATGGCACATGTAACACCTCTGCTGCGGGAGCTGCACTGAGTGCCAGTTTCCTTCTGAGTCCAGTTCAAGGTGTTGGTTATCATTTTTAGAGCCCTACATGGCATAGGTCCAAGTTACCTGAGAGACCATCTCACCCCCATTACATCAGCCTGTCCCACCTGGTCAAGCAGAGAAGGCATGTTACGGATCCCATCAGTGAGAGAATGTTGACTGGCGGGTCCCAGGAGGAAAGCCTTCTCTGCTGTTGTCCCCGCCCTATGGAGTATTCTCCCTCCAGAGGTGAGGCAGGCCCCTACCCTCCCAGCTTTCCGGAAGGAATTGAAAACCTGACTCTGCCAACTCACATGGTGCAAGAAGAGATACAACCAATCATGGGGGTGGTTGGCACCTTGGAGGTGCTTCCCGAGTCTAATAACTCCTAGTTAACATCAGTCTCTTGGGAGTATTATATAGGAATCTTGTTGTTGTAGTGTATTTTAATTAATATTTATTCTACTTTAATTAATATTTATTCTTTTTACTGTAAACTGCCCAGAGTCGCTCTGCAGTGAGATGGGTGGTGACAAATTTGAAGTACAAATAAATAAATACAAATAAAATTTAATCATAGGATATATTCTCCTAGGTGCAGAAGGACACTCCAGAAATCATGGCAGAATGTGTAACAAGCCAAGAGAACAACTCAGATTTATCAGGAAGGGAAACCATCACCAGTGATACCAAGAGGTACTGGTGTACACAGTGCTGTCCTAGGGGAAATGTTCTGGAAAAGGGGAAATGATGAAAAAAGGGGGCTGTGGGAGTGTCCAGGCAGGGGGTTTACTTTGATCTGCTTTATTGTTTAGCAACAGGTTTTTCTCATACCCGACAGGTTCTTTTATGTGAAACATTTGCAGAATTATTCTATGAGTTTCATTGAAAAGCTGAATTGCCATGAGTGTCAGTAACAAATGAGGTGTGCAAAAAAATGTTGCAGTACAGAAAACTTCTGTATAGTTCCATGGAGCTCCATTCCATTCCCCCTGGTTTTCTGTTTTAAGCTCTCCCGAAGTTGATCAATATTGTATGGCCACTGAGAATGGTCAGGGGTTTTGCAGGGGTTTGTTTCTGTTTTTGGAATAATGGATCCCTCAAAACTCATGGATACCTTCATCTATGTATGGATGATGCCATTTGGCTACATGGCAGTCTTATGCCTGTGTTTGCTAATACACAGAATATGAATTTGATACCTAAAATGTTAATAGCCTCCATTAAAATGTGTTGCAGTTTAAAGTGCTCTCAAATTAAATGAATACACACTGTTTCTCTCTTTGTCTGTGGGTTTAATATATAATGGCTGTTTCACACATGTGCACTTGATATGGCAGTAATCAAGGGATGAATTGGAATGTATGACCTCAGTCTAATTCTCCATCTTCTGCAGCAGGAGGAAGTTTGTCAGACAGTCAAAGACTTTAAAGGATCTGCCTCAGCAAGAGGCACACCTTCAGGACATCTGCCAGGATGCTGATGGGGTAATGTCTCTACAGAGGTTTCATAGATTTTCCAAGTCCTTTTCATGTTCAACCCACATGGATTCCCTTATTGTAGCAATAATGCTTGCTTTCCTTAGGCTGCTGGTTGGCTGCCACTTGGATGGAGAACAGGTCCTGGCATGAGTAGCAGATCTGGTCTACACATGCAATAGGATGAGGTGGTAGAATATTGAGAATATAAATAGGGAAAATCAATTCTGAATGCTGAAAATAAAACATATGCACACAGGGAAAAGGTTCTTTCTAACTTTCTCCTTGCTCCACTAGATGATTTTGTGTTTCTAGGGAGATTTTTTTTTCTGTAAGGAAGCTTAAAAAATGTGAGCTTATGAGATGTGATGTACCATTAGGCAGAGTAAGTCATCTACCTCAGGAGATGGATGCTAGGAAATGTGAGAATGGGGGCAGCAAAAGCTAAAGCCCTCAGATATTCCTCCTGAAGCTATGGATGCTTCCTCACTCAATCTTGAGTGCAGCAAATAAGCTGTGATCCCAACAGAAGGGAAACTCTGATCTTAGGCTGCTAGTGTTAAAGGATGGTCCTGTTCTCAACCTAGTTAGCTTCAGGTGGTCCAGCCAGTCTAATCTTTTCAGAACTCTGCCACCTCTTTACAGCTTCCCTGGTGCATGAGTCAAGATCAAACTAGATATGATAGTTTCTGCTTGTTATATATTATTTTCCAGAAAAGTTTACTCAAAACAGTTTACATAGAGCTCTAGTTTTAAACATTGATCACTCCCACTGCATAGAATAAGAAGCCCAAAGATTGTTAGCATCTTGGAGGTGGATGGCCTTATACCAAATCTAATAAATAAAATAAAGATAAAATAAAATACAAAGGGTGCTAAGACACCTAGCCTTCCCCCATCTGTAGCTTACTTTCTCACATCGGCAGCTTTTCTCCCCAGAACTTTTCTGCTTAGGCAAAAACACATGGAGAGAAAGCCAACATAAAAAGGAGTTGATGCTTAGCCAATTAATAATAGAGAAAACCAGATCTTTGTGATTAATAATGTACTCTATTCTTGGGCTCTATCTGAGGAGGAAGTCAAAGAGGCAGATGCATTGCATTCTGAAAATCTTAAGTTAAAACCATTGCATCTCCAGTTAAAAGACTATGAAATGAAAGCCTTCTACATGAGACCTTCAAGAGCACTGCTGATATTCTAGAGAATAAAATAGATGAGTGATATGACATACAGCATATGGTAGATTTTTATTTTAGTCTGCATTAAGAATGTATATATGTTGCACCACTTAGGAAATACAGCAGTTGCTACATACTGATCACAGGTGGAGTCCAGAAATGGAAGATGCCCTTGAGGAGCTAGGAGAACTATGGGCTGAATTAAAAAAAAGGCATCAAGAAAATGGCATGGCATTGCAAGAAATTGACACAGTGAGTAGTAGCCATCCCTGGAAACAATATCTTATTTTTCCTTTCTCCTTTGCAATAGTTCAACAAGTGTTGTGATATGATGGTACTGTATGTTTCCCCTGCAGTCCTGGATGTGGAATGGAGGCAGTGGAATATACCATGTTAAGTTGGGACAAATGCTACCAGATGGGCTCTGGTGGAATGGGAAACAGGGCTGAGAAAAAAAGTCCCTTCTAAAACTTATGTATCACTCGTTGCAAGTTCTAATCCCAAGATAACTTCCATTTCTGTTCTCTGTCCAAGCAGTTCATTTGCTTGCATGCCAACCTTGCTCTGAAAACTGTTTACGAGCATCTGGATTTGTTTCTTTTTAGTAGAGTGTTCCTACACTTTTTACTACAGTTAGAAAGTTGACCCTGGGGATTCATGTGAACTCTTTTCTCCTCCAAAGAAGAGTACTCAGGTGTTGTATATCATAAGCTAGATGTATCTCACGTATGTATATTGTTCCTTTCCCTTTGTAGGCTTTGCAGCTGGTTGGGGAGCTAGAAGCAGCTGAGTGTTGGCTAGAAACTGTAGCAGCCTTGCTTTCTGAGCCAAGAGCAACAAAGAATCTTGATGACCTCCATAGGGATCTGCAGAAAATTGGCACCTTGAAGAACAAAGCTGGAGCATGGGCTACTAAGATTCACACTCTGCAGGAAGAAATGCAGATGGTGCCCTCCTCCGAACACACAGCAGCTGCAGTGATTCAGAGAAAGATGGAACGAGTGAAGGAAAAGTGAGTTCCTAAGGATCAAAATACTGTAATGTTTTCTGCATGGAAGTGATATAACAGCTGGGCTCTTCAGGAGGTAGTATGAAGAGACTGTATTTCTTCAGGGATGCCTGATTTAGAAGAACTGGATGAAGACAGCTAAGCGAGAAAAGTTGACTTAGAGAGCTAGGGCAGTTTAATAAGGTCTCTCTTGTTGCTAGAGATTTATTTCCTGACTTGTTTTTTTCTGTTTGATAAATCAGAGTGAATTTCTCTGTGCCATATACTGCTACCTAGCTTACATTTTCTCACTAGGCTGGCCTGTGTGCAGGAAGCCCTCCAGCGCCAAGCAACAGACTTACATGATTCCCTGATTTTAATGGAGTTTTTACAGAATGTGCAGATGGATCAGACGCTAAATCAAAGGAGCCAAATAAAGGTGAGAAGCAAAGTAAAGGAGGAGGAGGAAAGTGTTATCTAAATCCCCTCCAGTCAGTGGAAAATATACAGCATGAAACACCTCTCTTAATAGTTTAATTCGGACAGTGGGATACTATCTGATATCTCAGTTTAGAGTTAATTCATCAATATAAGCTCCTTGCTATTAGGATCAGGATTCCTGTTCTTGCCTGGACGTAACTTAGTTCTACACCCAGATCTGTGTGGTACATTGTCTCTAAACAGTTCGTTTGGTGACCAAGAGTAGTTTGTATTATTCTTTTTTCAGGCTTCATTGAATCTCAAGAGAAGTATGTCATGTTTAATGGTAATACATTTTATAGCTGAATTTTAACACAATTCTAGCTCTGGTCATCTCCAGTTGTGAAAGTATTGGCTCTAATACCACTAATGACAACAACTGACACTACATGAATTGTCACAATAATCTGCACTGCTGTTTATCTCTTAAAGAAGTCCATGAGAAAGAATTGGCCTTTAGAGATATGGTAGAAATCAGTCTCCCTTATAGGCTGATTGAGAAATGAATGTTAGAGACAGTGCTGTTAACACCTTCTTACCATATCTGGTGAATAAGTCCAAGGGAAGCTTTTTCTGTAGTGGTACCATGTTTCTGCGGTATTCTCCAAATTTAACTCTGTCAGAGGGTCTCATTTGCCATTGACTGAAGACACTTTTATTTTAAATGTTTACCATCTACTTTTACCATCTATTACTTGTAAATGTTTACAGTCTATTTTGTTACTGCTTATTTAAACATGTTAACCTTTACTTTTCTAATGTTAATGCAGTTTTTTTGCAGGTTTGTTTAAAATATTGTTTGTTATTGTCCCTAACAGAAATTAGCTGTTGTCCTTTTCTTATTTTATGATTATGCTGTATACAGCTCTGAGTATATTTAGATGAAGAGTGGGGTCTAGTTTTATTTATTTTATATTTTATATGCAAGAAAAGACAGAAAACTCAAGGCTTCTATCTTTCATGTACTGCAAAACTAATATGTGTATGAATGTCTTGTTACTATTAATTTTTTATATGCCTTTTAAATTGACATTTAAATCAGTTTACTTTACAATAGGAAACAAATAGGAAGCTAGACATATCAACTAATATATGCAGCTCACATTTCTAATTAGTTCCAAATAGGACTCCTTATGGATAAAATGTTTTTATCCATAAGAGAGCTGGGTTTTTCACACCATTGTATAACTGATAGAGAATCAGTGCTGTTGCAAGCTTGTCAGATACTTTTTTGTGTGATTATTAAAGCATTCAGTAGCCATTTCTGTGGTCCCTTTTCTTAAGTTTTCAAATGTTGGCATATAATTCAAAAGAAAGTGAGCATCAACAAAAACAGTAAGACTTCCAAAACAAAATTAATATGTGAAGTAACTTTTGTCCAAAAGAGAGTCACTATGAAAGACCACATCATAAGAATTAATCATAGGCTTGTAATTTTGTAAATAACATGAAAAATCCTCTGACACTAAGGAGATTCTCAAGCACCTGAAGCTGCCCACCCATACATAGTCATCAAAAGATGTTTTAACTGAATATACAATGATTCTGCATTTCATGGGGAGAGAAATCTCATATAGCAACAATTAGTTATTAATTGGATTACTTAGTTTAAGATATAATCTCCAAACTCTGCCCAAGTCCTTATGAAAGGATTATCTTTCAATTTTCAAGTTTGGATTTCCCCATAACGTTAATGCAGTATGCTCATAGAGATCAAACCAGTTGGAATGCTATTGAATGCTAACCCTCCACAACTTTTAATATGTTAGAGTGGGAATTCCTTACTTAATCTAACAGTCAAACATGTTAAATATGCCAGTTTCAGAATGACCTACAAAGGCAAGAATCCGGGAAGCAAAATCTACCATTTATGACTATAAAGTAAACCATATGGTATAAACTTAAATCTAGAAAACTAAAACTTTCTTCTCTGACAATTAAAACATCTTGAGTGAAAAATGAGAGATAATTTCGACACATAAACCTCCAAAATGCTTTAATTTTGTGAAAATTTGTTTTAGAAATACACAGTACAATACTGTGTATTATTGTTTTTAACGTTTTCATTTTATCCCAAAATATTCAGTTTAAACAAAGCTCTTTTTACCAGATAATTTGCTATTTCTTTTTTGTATAGAAATTGTACTAAAAATTATACTTTCAACAATAAAAACTAATACAAACTAGAAAGAACTAATACAAAAAGAAAAGAATAAAAAGAAAAACTAGATGGTGCAGAAAATTAAAAAATAGAAAATAAAAAAAAATCCTGCTTTATAGAATGGAAATAGTGGTAATTTCTTCCCAAATCTATGTATTTTAATATCAATATTGCTTGTGTACATATTTTGCTTTAGGCTGCACCAAACCAGTTCAGTTCCCCAGAATCTTTGCACCTTGCCTTAGCCCAGAGTGCTCAACAGGGGAACAGTAAGGACATGAGTACACCACTGAAGGAATTACAAGAAGCAGTGGAAATGCTGAACAATGTAGTGAAGGAACGAGAGCGGGCCTTGAAGGCGGTGACTGAAACTGAGAGCCAGGAGTGCTTTACTCAGGTCATGAAAGATAAGGAGGAAATTAGGGTAAGAGGAGGCTAAGAGGTGCCATATATTAGCATACTTCCCTGATGGTTAGAGAACACCTACACTTTTTACCCTGTCCCAATTCATTGCTTGTTGTGGTAATGTTTCTGGTATTGAAGCAAGAACCTGAGCAGTACAGATTGGTAGGTTTTTTTGGACTGTCCATTAAAGATATGTCTGTACCAGCAATGGTCTCTTGCAGGTTGTCCTATTTTTAGCTTGCTTTAGTCCAGTGCAACTCTTCATGTAGACTGAGATCTTGAAAAGTCTTTAGTAGAACATACTGTACATACAAGCTGCTTTATATAAAGTCAGACTGTTAGTCCGTCTAATTCTATATTGTCTAATCTGATTGGCAACAGCTTTTTGGAAAGGAGAATTTCTCAGAGATTTAGAGATCCTGGAGATTGAACCTGAGATCCTTTTGCATGTAAATCATGTGTTTCACCTGTGATGAATTTCCCAAAGTAAATGAGTTGTACAGGCCTCCTCACATCTCCTCCCAGATGTTCTTATATTACTGAGATTCTATTTGTACCAGATTCTATCTCATCCCTTTTTGTTGTATTCCTACATGGCTTTTTGCACATTTGCATTCCATCCATGTAAAAAGCAGCAATATGGGAATTTCTTGGGAGTAAATTTTCAAATATGTTGGATCAAAAATGTAAGTGGTCCAAGCTAGCGCTACAGTGGATATTATGAAATCCTTCAACAAATTGCAGAAATGGATCCTAAGGGAAGGTGGCATATGTCAAGAAATGCGTAAGACAATATTTTGTCTAAAAGCAGCTGGTATGGATACCCTAACAAATCTACAGTAGAGTGCAAATTGAGACCAAACAAGATAGAGCCATTTTGAAAGAAACATATCATGTAAAATCAGCTTGGAAAGAAAGTGTCCTTAAATGATGGAAAGATGAGCCAGACTTAGAAGCCAATAATTCAGTCTGTGTCTAGATTACTGCAACTTCAGAGTTTTGGAGTGAAACAGATAATACCCTATCAAGAAATTTGTGGCACAGAGTGCCTTTGCTAAGCTTCATCTTTGTTCTTTCTATTCTCAGCTGAGCTGGGTTACCTCACAGATTGAAACAATCCGGGAGAGGACAGAAACCCTAGCTCAGGACATCATCCAGGCGGAGAGGAGTTTTACCACAGTGAAAAGTGAGATGGATCTGCTTGATGTGCAGGATGTGCAGAAAAGACAGGAAGAGATAGAGGTGAGATCCAGAGAATTGACTCTGGCTTTTCTGTCTTGAGGGATGTTGAAACTGTGTTTGGTTTTCCCCAGTTTGGGAAGTTTTCAGATGGCACTAGCTCCTAGCACTGCTAATTATAATGCACTGTACAACTATTCCATCTTTTCCTCCTTTATGCTTCCATTTGTAAATAAAAATGATGGAGGAACTGGTAGGAAAAGAAGAGTTACAAGTGGAGAGTGATATCATCTGGATCCCTTGTAAAAATCCATGAATGAGATAAGGCAATTGTTTAGTAACTGTTCTGTCAGGAAGCATTCCTTCTGTTAATCTTGTCTGCACTGAGAATTAACTTTTCTTGTTTAGCTGATTGTGGTTTTTAGCAAGTTTAGCCTTGGGCTAATCTCAAATGTATGTGGATGAGGAATGTCCTGGGATTTTGAATTAGATTGGCTCTGGTGTATAAGTTCAGATATATTCTGCTGTAGTCAGTATATCTCATATGACGCTTACTGGATCCTTAACTGCATTCTTGGGCTTTGTAGGCTGCAGATTTGGGGGCTTAATGGCTGGAAATAGTTGAACATGTTCCAAGGGTTAAGTGGTGTGAAGCACTTATCATGTTTGCACAGATGTAAATCTAGCAACAATTAGCAATACGTGCACAAAGATGCTGGGCTCAGTAGCCACTCCCCCAAATAAGTTACATTATCTCACAGCAGATGTGAAGAACTATAGATGTTAAAGAAGACATCATACACGGTTTGAAAAATCTATTCTACCCAGTTACCATGGCAAATCATAGAACATTACCATGTGAGTTTAAGTTTGACTATAACTCTGAGCAATAATTTTTTAAGATAGGTCAGTGTTAGCATGATGTTTATTGGTTCTGACCTGCTGTGCTTCTGTTTTTCAAAAATCAATAGTAAAAACCTGTCCATTCTGGGATAGCAGCAAGGATTTGCTAACAGGAAGAGCCAAGAAAGTCTTTTCACCACTGTGAACCCTGTTGCCTTGTGTTCCATAGAGTGATATGTCTCAGCTGGAAGGAAATATAGAGGAACTGGAAAGAGCAGTTACTCACCTGGTTCAAGCATCTGATGAGTCCAGACGGATTCTTGAAATATTAGAGGCTTGGAAAGATCTCCAAAAAGTGGTGCTGGAAAATTCAGTTCATGGACAGCAGACTGTTCGCTTATGGCAATTCTTTAAAGATTATCTGGCCATTATGTAAGTTAGTTTCTCTTTCTCTTTCCCTTCTTAAAATCTTGGGATGTAAGATGCCCTGAATTAAGAATTGTCTTAAAATACAGGTAGTCCCCAGTTTAGGAATGAGTTCCGTTCCCAAGGTCTGTCCTTAAGTCGAAATTGTATGTAAGCTGGAACAGTATTATTGTATAATACTGTATAAGTAGTATTGTGTAATGAACTCAAACCATTGTGTATTAAACTTGAATCATTGTGTATTTACAGTAACTCAAATTTTGCTACAGTAGGCTCTGTTCTTAACTATGGGTCATCTGTAACTGGGCGTTCTTAACCCGGAGACTACCTGTACAAAAATTACTGTTTTTCAGAGCACACTCTGCAGCATTTGAGTTATTTGCTAACTTACATTTCCTTACAGCTCATGCCATATAGTTATCTAGCAAGTCTTACTTCCTTTGTAAACTTTATACTTCACCAAGAATGTGTTGCTCCTAGAGAAATCTTGGGGAGGGCTTGACACTTTAAAATTAGTTAAAGGTCAGAATCTGGAAATAGTCTTGTATTAATTTTTCCCCCCTTCCTTAGCCTCCAAACTGTTTTGTTTCTAATCATGTGTCAGTGAGATGTCTTTGTTTTGAAGACAATTCAACTAGCTTGAGTCTTTGATCTATTTCAGTCCTAGGCACAATTCCCCACAGCAAATTTTCTTGATACGGGATTGTGTGCAATTTTAATACAGACTGTCACAGTTGACAAACATACTGGGAAGTTGCCAATGGCTACAGATTTCCTTGCTTTATACACCTTTATACACAAATATTTATACAAAATACACAAATATTATATTGTTGTCAAGTATGATGACCTACGTGTGAGTTATTTGCTAACTTTTAAACAATAGTGGGAGAAGCTGACGTTGTTTTTACATCTTTAATATTTCCTGAGTAGACTGAGACAAGGTAATGGAAAGTGCTTCCATATCAAGCCAAGAAAACTGCATGGAAATGTCCATGTAAGTCAGTAGGCGTCCAGCTCAGCTCGAAGGTGATTTGATTTTTTAAAAAAGGCTTGAGGGAAATGCTTGCTATCTTAATTATGAGCTATAGGTAGACAAATCCTGCCATCTAGTGACCAGGATAACTTGATGTAGAATAGACTTCCAGTGGGATTCTTGGCTATTAATAGATAATGCCCTACCTGCAATCTAGATTAATACTGTATTCCGTGGTTTTGTTGGAAGAGCAGAACAGGGATGGGCAGACTTCAGATGTGTCAGGTCTGTTTCATTTTTTTAACAGAAACCCCAAGATCCACCAAACAAAGCCTGGTACAAAAGATATGCATTTAGAATGAATGAACAAGTTTCCCATGAGCACCTTCTGAGCCTAACAGTTTATTTTGAGTACCAGAACTGCACTGATCATGCAGCCTTTTTACCCCTAAACCCACTCCCTGTTACTCCCAGGTTTCTTCATTCAGCAGACAAATTTCAGTATAAGAAGTCATTTGTCGTTGTTGTTGTTGTTGTTGCTATTCTAACATCATCCAGAAATCTACCCATTGATTTCAGTCTACCTTCTCTCCACTCTTGCAGTGGAAGATTAAATGCTACAGTTTGGGAGGTATGAAGACCCATTTCTTCTGGTTGCATTCACAGCTGTCCTCTCACACTTGATTTTCTAGCTCTTGGACAGAGGATACCCGGGCACAAATTTTCTCAGAGAATCTGAATGCCCAGGGCCTTTCAGAGGCTCCATGGGAGAATCTGAAGAACAGTATGGAGGCTAAGTTCAAGGAGTTTGAGGAGTTGGCAGCAGCAGGGTGGGAGCTGGTGACTGAAGAGCACTACTTGAGTGAGACGGTAAGTGTGAAAGGCTGGGCATGTAAATATCCTACAGGCTGTCAATGGGAATATCATTGAGGTAATTTAGGGATCAGTGTTTAAGCCCAGAAGAAGGACATGGTAGCTGTGCAGATATGCATGCCTTTATGAATTAGCGATTCAGAGCAGCTAATGGCTTTTTGTAAATAATGGCTTTCATAAATTTCTCAGGGCTACTTTTAATCGCAGACATCTTTTGTACCATTAAACAGACCCCTCCCAGGCATCAGCCTTATCCAGTACCAAATGCTTTACACTTAGATAGCGTGTATTCTCAGGCACAGATGGGTTAAAGTCCTTGGGAGAGAGATAATATGCAATTATGGATTATACCCAATTCACACCCTTGAAAACATTTCTTTTTCACGTTAATAAAATTTCACAATAAGTCCAGTGGGCAAATATTTTATAAATGTATTTTTAAAAACACATAGTGTTGTCTGGAGCATCTATTTGCTATCTCTGATTTAGAGAGGTCCAGTAACATGATCTTATGAGTGAGTTATTCATTTAGTTATCACTAAAATGATCAGAAAACAATATTATAGTATTAATTATAAAATTCTTTCAATTTCTGCTATTTGAGCCACTGGGGAGAACCTACTCCAGTGGGGAAGTGCAGCACAAATGGGGCTGGAGGGGCTGATTTCAAGATTTTCTAGGTTGGTTTGCCTAATTCTCCTGTTGTTGTTGTTTAGTCGTTAAGTCATGTCCGACTCTTCGTGACCCCATGAACCATATTGCGCCAGGCCTTCCTGTCCTTCACTGCCTCCCTGAGTTTGCTCATCCCATATTGGCATCACCCAAATTAAAATAATATGAAATAAAGAAACATATGGGAAGACGCTAGAGCAGAAATAGCTCCAGAGAAGAAGGGAGATAGACCGGGTCCTGACTGTGCAGTAGGTTAACTGAAACTGACTAGGTGCTGGCAATTGTGTTTATTTCTTCCTGGAAAAGGGTGATTGAAATGGACAGCTACAGGCAAATTGCCAAATAAGCAACAAAACCCAGCTTGGCATTCCTCATTATTTTCTGGGCACTGCATTGAGGAAAAGCAAGGGTTCTCCCCACTGATGGAGTATGTTGTACAAATGTGCCCTCTCTTCTTCTGCAAATCAGAGCAGTGATTTAATCATTTTAGAATATTCTGAACACAGAGTGTGCAACTGCACCGTCACTTCTTCCCCCCTTAAAGTTCCTAACTCAGGAAACCAAGGGCTAATGGAGAGGGCAGATGCTAGGAAAGAATTTGCTCTAGTGGAGGCTAGTAGTCTGAGGTAAGGGGGTGGTGTCTCGTGACAAACTGTTACAGATTTAGTACACATTGAAGTTATGTTGGGATGATACCAGTTTAAGTGGGGGAAAATTACTTTTAATCCCAATACACTTAGTAACAACTTCTTTCATTCATGGGCTGGAGACAAGATGAAGACAGTATTGTGTGACCAAGGGGGAAGATTGGAATTTCAGAGGCATGAAGATGCTGTGACCATCTGTAACTGAGGAACAGATTTGAATGTTATCTCTTATCTTAAAGTCTAGGCTTAAATGGTAGATGCTTCAAGCCTGAATCAAAGCTTTTTAAAAGAACTGGTGATGGCCTGGCACCATTAAAAAGCTTTGATTC